AGCATCTGTGCAAAGCTGCAGTAAATCACACTGGTTCCTCTCACTCTGAACCTGCTGAATCAGCAACTTCACATGTTTACATTTAGAACAGCCCCAAACTGGAGCCGTTTCATTTGTAAATCGTATAAAATGCTGAGCAAAGACATTTTGTTTTTAAACATTAAGACAATCTGTGCTAAGGAGGAAGACAAATTAATCATTAATTTGCACACACACACACACTTCACAAGGTAGCACACAGCGCCTTCACGACATGGCAGAGGCAGCAATAATACTACAGCGAGAATAAAAGTTACGCCTTCCTTCTTTGCATGAACATTTTGGCAGCGTTATGCAAATCTTCCCACATCGTGACGTAGATATGTGGGGGCGTGTTAGAGTGAGCCGTTTTAGGGGGGCGCGGCAGAGTCTTAACTTTGATAAAGAATATCTCTTTATCAAAGAGATGACTTTAGTCTTTGCAACTTCAGGGATCTTATCTATGCACAATCAGCTTGTAACACTTGTCCCTCTCTCTTATTCAATGCAACAGCTACAGTAGATTGCGGTGTGTTTCGGAGCTGCTCACAGCATCTGTGCAAAGCTGCAGTAAATCACACTGGTTCCTCTCACTCTGAACCTGCTGAATCAGCAACTTCACATGTTTACATTTAGAACAGCCCCAAACTGGAGCCGTTTCATTTGTAAATCGTATAAAATGCTGAGCAAAGACATTTTGTTTTTAAACATTAAGACAATCTGTGCTAAGGAGGAAGACAAATTAATCATTAATTTGCACACACACACACACACACACACATTATTTTTATTGTTATATGGTGACTACAAAAAAGCCATTAGTTTATGTTAGTCAATGCATTACGTAACATTAACTAACAATGAGCAATACACTATTTTTGTACAGTATTTATTAATTTTTCTTAATATTAATAAAAAACAACAACTGTTCATTGTTTTTGTTAGCTCAAGTCCCAAAAAATAAGAATGCATTAGCAAATGTTGAAATAAACATTAACTAAGATTAAAGGGGTCATATGATGCTGCTAAAAAGAACATTATTTTGTGTATTTGGTGTAATGAAATGTGTTTATGCGGTTTAAGGTTCAAAAAACACATTATTTTCGACATACTGTACATTATTGTTTCTCCTCTATGCCCCGCCGTTTTGAAACGCGTCGATTTTTACAAAACCGTTTTAGGTAGGCGTGGCTGACTCTTAACTTTTATAAAAAATATCTCTTTGGATTTGAGACTTTAGTCTTTGCAACTTTACAGATCTTCTTTATGCACCAAGAGCTTGTAACACTCCAAAGAGAAAGGAAAAATTGAAATCGCATCATATGACCCCTTTAATAAATGCGCTGCTGTCTTAAACCCCGGTGCATCAGAGCTGCTCTCATTGGGTCAGACTGGACTTATTTTACCATATTTTGCTGTTTTGGACTGAAAGTGGCATGTCGGTGTTTCCGTCATTTGACCAAAGTCCATCCTTCATCCCCAGCTGCATCAGAGCTGCTGTCCTTGGTGTCAGCCTGCTGGTTTTGTTCTTTCAGTGGCATGTCTGGGTTTCTCTCGCTGGGTTCTTTTTCCATTTTTCTCAGAGGAAGCGACTCTCAAGGGCCGCTTGCCAACAATATAGCCATTCATTACTGATACAGCTATAACAGAATCAAGCGAGAATATGAAACCAGCCCGTAACCCATGCTCTGGCTGTTTTTCATCATGACCTTTGCGCTGGAAACAGGTCTGATTGCAGAAATTACGGAGCACATCTCCTCACTGCCTAAGCTGTATGGCAGATTTGACACATGTAGACTGTAGTCATTCTTTTGAGAGGCCTTTTGCTTCTTTTGGCGCTCACTGTATGGCTTTCTCAAAGTGGAATCGTGTTGAGCCCACATGCATCGTCTTAACTATTAGCTCAGAAAAAAATATCAGGGCATCCAGGTTGTTTTTGTGTAATGCCGGTGTACAGAAGTAACACAACCAAACCCTAGAGAAAGGCTGGTTTTTCTCAAAACATATGGGTCCAAATCGGAAGAATTTTGCAAGTATAACACTTGCTTGGTAACATGTGGCTGCAAATCGCCCACAAACAAAAACAGTCTTAGTTGACTGTTAACCTCACCTAAACCGTAGCACATGGCCATTTTGACTTTCCTTCAAAGATTATTGTTGCTAGAAAGCTCTTTGTGCAAAGCAAACCGCTGTGCAGAAATCACTGCAATGACATGAATACACTAGTGTGCTTTTATTGCCTTCACATGTTTACCCAACAACTATTACAGAACTTATGATATGATGGTGTTGGAATTTTAATTTGGAAGAGTTTTCATTCTTAAAAACAACCAACCAATTTAAAATTACAGGTTCAATTTGAAAGCATTGTAGGTTTTTCTCTGGGAAATAGAAAGCAGTAAACAAAGAAATAAAAATACAGTAACAGTAAACCACAGGTTTAGTTCTTGCAGTAAGCACAGACCTGCAGATAAAAACTGAAATTGTTTTTAAAAAGCCTATCATTTGAGCGTAGGTTAAACAAATGAATGCTCTCTGGACATTTTTCATCTAAAAAGTAGTTTTCCAGCTCAGCGCTCAATGGAGGTGTTGCCACCTGGTGGACTAATGACATTATGACGTCACAAACACAAACTGATCATGTGACACTGAGCGCTTGATATTAAAATAATTGCACAGCAACCGAAACATTACCAACAGTTACATTAATAACACTCCACGTAATTAACATATTACAGTAACCTCAGTATATAGTGCCGGTGGTTTTGCAGGCATGATAACGGTGAACACACAAACCATCAGTCACACACAATGTTTGATCCTCTACAGTGTCTTTATTTGTCCATCTGTTACCAAGGATACTGTCAGAGGAATGTGGAGCATTCATGTTCAAAGCTCATTTTTTCTTACACAGCTTCTGCAAATCATTGATTCTATCCAAAGGGAAAATTAGGAACACTTACAAGTGGAAATGTGGTGGACCGACTTTAAATCGCATATCGTTGATTAATACATGTATTTATTTCTGTTTAAATATGTTTTTGTCCTAAACGCAGTGTGTGACTGTAACTCTCTCTGGTTCTCCGTGCAGGGCTGTTTCCTCTGGGCTGCTGACTGGACATCTTTATAATGAGACGGAGGTACAGCACGTTAATGTGCTTGTGTCTGGAATTTCTGACTGCAGAAAGCAGAGAAACACCCATTTTCCTAGAGTTACACCCACTTACCACTGGCTTCACGCTGCACTATGTCAAAATACCATTAACTAAGACACTTACACTCAACACTGTTTCCATCTTGCTCATGGAGAACCTGTTGTTTGCAGTTTTGAGTCCAGCCATCAATATATCACTTACTTTCTAAATGTGATATGTTGAATAAACAACATCAATACACTGCGACTTTAAATGTTTCTATTTTTTTTTTAGTTGATTCTTGCCAAGTGCTATTTTTTGTTTAAGCTCCTCTCAATAAATGAACAAATACATAACAAACAATTGCAACCCACCAAATAAGTTATACGCAATATATGGCAGTATAAAAAGCATCTGTTGTGAAAAGTCTTATTGGGTCGTATATCATACCATATTAAATATGGTAAACGGAAGCTTAACCCTATAAACCCTCTAAATGACCAATATGATCAAAACTTGCCGCTTTGCTGAAAACCTGTTGTACACAATCTACATGCCTTCTGTCATCTGATTGATAGTTCATGCCTTTTTTATCATGTAAAAGGCCTTTTAATGTAAAAATGGTAATACCACCTTCTGGTAATGGTTCACATGTCTTTTTTGCTGTGAAATCTTTAATGTTTTTTAGAAAGTAAACATAAAAATTACTTTTATATTGTTAGCAATTAAAAAAAATTTTTTTATTTTTTTTTAGAAAAAATATTAAAATGTAAATATCAAATATACATCAGGCTTTATTGAGGAAAGTTATTTGTACATCTCTCAATAATCATTGTATTTCCATAAAAAAGCCTGACTATTATGAAATAATAGTAAAAAAAATTAGGGCTGTCAAACGATTATTTGCGAATGATCGCATCCAAAATAAAAGTTTGTGTTTACATAATATATGTGTGTGTACTGTATAGGCTATATTTTTAATGTATATATATATATATATATATACATACACACACACACATGCATGTATATATATATATATATATATATAT